TTCCAAGAAGGGGGCATCCACAACTTCTCTGGGCAACCTGTTCCAGTGTCTGACCACCCTCACAGGAAAAAACTTCTTCCTAATATCTAATCTCAACCTACCCTCTTTCATCTTAAACCCATTTCCCCTTGTCTTGTCATTAGTTGCCCTTATGAAAAGTCCCTCCCCAGCTTTCTTGTAGCCCCTTCAGGTATTGGAAGGCCGCTATAAGCTCTCCCCGGAGCCTTCTCTTTTCCAGGCTGAACAGCCCCAACTCTCTCAGCCTGTCTTCATAGGAGAGGTGCTCCAGCCCTCGGATCATCCTGGTGGCCCTTCTCTGGACTTGTTCTAACTGGTCCATGTCTTTCTTATGTTGGGGGCTCCAGAACTGGACGCAGTACTCCAGGTGGGGCTTTACAAGAGTGGAGTAGAGGGGCAGAATCACCTCCCTCGACTTGCTGGCCACGTTTCTCTTGATGCAGCCCAGGATACAGTTGGCCTTCTGGGCTGCAAGCGCACATTGTCTGCTTGTGTTCAGCTTCTCACTCACCACCACTCCCTAGTCCTTCTCTTTGGAGCTTTCCTTCTCTTCGGAGCTTAAAAATAGAATCTCCAAAAATAAAAAAAAAACAATCCCTACGATTCTGTGATCTTTAAGGTCCCTTCTAAGCCAAACCATTCTGTGATTCCAGCTTGAATTGCCCTATAAGCCTGTGAAATTCATATGGGTAAAAAATTATTTTTAGAAGGTCCCTCTATGCTTGTAATTACCAGTGAAAGTTTAAGACAGTATATAATTTGAGAGCATATAATAGCTATAAGAACTGCAGAAATAAGAGAGAGTAATTCAGATACCTTGCAGTTAAGTCTGCTGAGGTAAAATGTTGTCTGAGTATAGAGAAGCTGTTTTGCACGTGTGTACATAATGTGTGTGTATATAAATGTGTACATTTGTGCATATATACTTATGTGTAGCGTCCTTTTGATTTAGGGCAATTCTTTTTGTGTCACTACTCCTGGTTTTGCCATGTTATTTGTTCATCAATTTAAGCTGTACTGGAAAATGAACAGTGTTTACACAGTGGGATGCTGGTCTCTGTTGCTGGTTTTAAGTTTTCACATAGTGCAAGTGATATGTTACTTAATACTATTATTGCCTAAAATTTTACAAAATAAAATAAAGTAGGAATAATTTTCCTCAAATTCTTTTAATTTCGAGTACTCTATTAACAAAAAGAGCTCTGAGTTTTCTAATCCTTACACAGAATTTCCTTCTTAAGAAGCTGGAGTATAGAATCAAACTCAGTGGTGCATTTCAGCAACTGTTGTTATGTAGATAATTTTCATTTCCTTATAATAATGTATAGTTATTTTCTAGATGTGAGCATATACCCAAAGGGAGTTTATTTTATTCTTCTATAAATAAATTCCATATTTATTTCAACAGAAATTGAAAAGGAAAGCTGTGGGGATCCTGGAACACCATTGTATGGTATCAGAGAAGGGGATGGATTTTCTAACCGTGATGTTTTAAGGTTTGAGTGTCAGTTTGGATTTGAATTAATTGGAGAGAAATCTATCATTTGCCAAGAAAACAACCAGTGGTCTGCAAACATACCAATCTGTATTTGTATGTACCAAATTTTTTTTAATCATTATTTTTAATGCATAACATTATGATAACTTTTTCCTTATATGTAATAATTTGTGTGATTGATATCAGAGTTAGCACAATGCAATTAATTCTGCTGAGAGGATGAATTTACTTTTGTTCTGGTGGGCTTGCTTAATGATTATGTCCAAGACAGGTTCTAGAACTGCTAAAATGTTTTTTCTTTTACTAACAATTATTAAAGCAGTTGTGTTTATGTGATTTTATATAATGTTTTATTATTGATTATTTGGTAGGATTCTGTTTGCTGAATTGTAATCACGGCTTTAATTATGGTTTTTGTTTTTGTTTTTTTTCCCCCATGTATTATATACTAATATCTTTTAGCACTTAAATGATCACAGACATTTATAGCTCTCTTCCAGTTATGTTATACAGGGTAAATAAAACCAATGTTATGACACGTACTTGTGGCATCACCTTTCTTAACATTTCCACTAAAATAGTACAGATCAAATATAGTCAGTGTGCAATCAGTTGCTTGCATCCCTCCAACTCAATTTAATATGGCTTAACTGAAATGGCTGAATATAAAATATTATCCTGATAACAACAAAACAACTCGGTTGCCTCTTTGAGGCTAGTTAATTTATTGTGCTTCTGTGTGAACAACAAATGATAAGGGCACTATTGACTTTCTGCCTCTTTAATGTGCTCAGTGAGAGGTTTGCTCATCTAAACAGTTCCCTAAAGGAGAAAATAAGTGGTACCAAGTGATTAGGGATTGTCAAACATAGGTAAATTGTAAGGACTGCTGTGGGCTTCCAGTGCAAAAAGGATGTTCTTTGTTATCTGGGGATCTCTACTTGGGAGGTAGTTTTATTGAGAGGAAGGGAATAAGAAGATAAAAAACCTTCTTTCTGGCTTCAGAGATTATAACAAATACCAAATTATTCACGTAAGGTAATCAAGTTTAAGGATTTCTTACAAAGACTTGGTAAGAAAATACATCCTTATTGAAATGTTTTATTTTATTATTGAATTTCTTTCTCTCTTTTTTTGTCAGTTCCTTGCCTTTCTAATTTCACTGCACCAATGGGAACAGTTCTTTCACCTGATTATCCAGAGGGATATGGGAATAATTTAAACTGTATCTGGACAATAATTTCAGACCCTGGGAGCCGAATCCATCTCTCTTTTAATGACTTTGACTTGGAATCTCAGTTTGACTTCCTTGCAGTTAAAGATGGTGACTCTCCAGATTCCCCTATAATAGGAACGTTTACTGGTGCTGAAGTTCCTTCCCACCTTACCAGTAATGGTCATATTTTGCGTTTGGAATTTCAAGCTGACCATTCAATGTCAGGACGTGGATTTAACATCACTTATAACAGTGAGTAATAGTATTTTTTTTATGTATGTGTGTGTTTTGTTTGCAACATGGAGTTTAGGAGATGTCTAAGTATGTAAAAATGATGTTATGGTAATACATCTTCAAAGAAACCCTATATACCTACAGATACCTAATTTAGGTGTTTAGATGGTCTTTAAATGCAGTGTTAGGGCTGAAAATATGTGTACATTTATCATTTGTGTCATTAGAGATCATTGTGATGGGAGTGTTTAGAAGACTAATGAATTAGGCCAGTTTCAAATTGTAAAACTGAATGTTACTGAATTAGTTAACGGCACACTTTGTGCTGCTGGTTAAATCCTACATAATGTTACTCACAATCATTACATATACAAAACTGTTACTCTTGAACACTCGTATGCTAGTTTACCTGTGAATGTATGTACTATCCTGGAGCTGATGGCTGCAGTCCATGCTAGCTCCTAGTTACTGTGGTTAACATGGGCAGCCGTAGGATGTTTGATAAGAGAAGTCAAACCACAACAAACTTGTTTTCTTTTTCACTATTTTAACCTTCCTTATGATTGATGATTTTAAGCTATTTTTCTCACCCCCAGTAAAAAAAAAAAAAAAAAAAAAAAAAAAAAAAAAAGACTTCTGTTGTCCTTACCTTGCTCTTTTTTTTTGTCTTGCCAATCATCCTTGTGTATTCAGGGGGATGTCTGGCCCATTTACAGTCCCTTGTGCTTATCTTTTCTTTTGTATAGCAATTTTTTTCTACTTGGATGCCTTCTATGTGTAACTACACCTGCCTATGTTTGCCCTTTTGGTGATCAAATTGCTCACATACTATGTAAAATGATTATATGTTGTGCCTGGCTACACTACTACAGTATTAAAAAGAACACTTGCATACTGTTTTTAGTTACTTTGGTTTGGTAAACTTGTATATAAGCTGGAGGTAAGTTCATATTAAATATATTCTGATTAATACGCTTTTAACTTACAATTGTAACAGCCATGGGGAGAGAAATTTCTAGTTTACTCTTCAAAGCAACTGCAGTAAATCGTAGTTAGGCTTCTGTCTTGAATGCTCTGAATTGTACCTACCTATTTGTAGCTTTTCAAAAGGGAAACTAGCATCTTCTGACAGCTTTTATATTTAGCTTATATATTACACAGAAACATTTTCCCATTAAAATGGAGTTCTGTGTATTTCACTTGCTTCTGTTTTGAGGGAGGTGAAAATGTTGAAACTATACAAAAAGATAAATAGCTTATATTTACTACTAGGCACTGCCTTTACTGACAGCATAATAACCGCAGGTGACATTAAATATCTTTTCAGTGCTAAATACCATTAGCACTTATTCACCTTACTTTTTTCTGGCAAAATCATTACATTTCTTCTGAAAGACATATGAAGAACTGCCTATGTTGTATTGCTTTCAAATTGTTTGGCATTTATCCCATACCAAAGTCCATACAGGATGTATTTCCAGATAGGGCAGGCATGATTATGCAATATGTAAGCCCACAGCATGAATACATTGCAAAATATAGCATGAGGCTTTCCCCCCCAAGCAGTGAAGTGAGAAGTACTGGGTTTAGTCAGATTGTTCCTTTTGGGGAGTTGGAAGGAAATCGGGAGAGGAAGTGTCTTTCTTGCTTGTATCAGGCTTGCTACTATGCATAGAGGATGGTACAGATAACAGAGTGACTGTTGAGAGGATCATCATCTCCTCCTCCCAGAACTGCCCCATCTCACACATGTGGATTTTTTTTTTCTTTTTCTTTCTGATAGCAGAGGTAGCAGAGTAGTTTTCCATGCCAACAGATAGACAAAATAGGCAAAAGATTACAGATATTTTGATATTCGTAAAAGTATAATGTCATGAGTAAGTGGTCCCATTCCTGTCTTTCTCCCTAACACCTAAGAGTATGATAATTCCAGAGGCTTATAGAATCATAGAATGGTTTGAGTTGGAAGAGACCTTAAAGATCATCTAGTTCCAACCCCCCTGCCATCAGCACGGACACCTTCCACTAGACCAGGTTGCTCAAAGCCTCATCCAGCCTGGCCTTAAACACTTCCAGAGAGGGGGCATTCACAACTTCCTTGGGCAACCTGTTCCAGTGTCTGACCACCCTCACAGTGAAGAACTTCTTCCTAATATCTCATCTAAACCTCCCCTCTTTCATCTTAAAACCATTTCCCCTTGTTTTGTCATTAACTGCCCTTATGAAAAGTCCTTCCCCAACTTTCCTGTAGGCCCCCTTCAGGTACTGGAAGGCCTCTATAAGATCTCCCCAGAGCCTTCTCTTTTCCAGGCTGAACAGCCCCAACTCTGAGCCCGTCCTCATAGAAGAGGTGCTCCAGCCCTCTGCAATGTAAATAAATCTTAAACTGCATGATCTGAAGGAGAGCTGTATGCCCTCATTTCCCCTTCCCAGAAGAATGTGTTAAGTGCTTGCCTATATGAAAAAAAAACAACAAACAACCAAACAAAAAAAAACAGTCTTTGTTGTTTAAGGTGTTTTACTCTGAATAAACCAGAAAAGCTCCATTAAACCAAAGAGGAAATGAGATTAAGTGAGCTTTGTAATTGAAAGACCCAAGCTCCACATTTTTATCCGAGGAATGTTAATAATTAATATTATTTTCATAGTATTACAAGGACTAAATTCCCCTGTGGCTCTCTATGTTTTTTTTTGATTTGTAGTTTGCCTCTACATCTTGGGGGTTTTTTTGGCTCTATCTTTTGTTTTGGTTTAGGTTGTCAGTCTTTCAGAGATGTATTTCTTAAGACTTACCTTGAACATTGCTGTCTGAATAGGAAAGAGATAAGCTGACACCAGATTACTGTGTAAACATTCTTTTTCTGATATTGTCTTATATTTCACCTCCCAGCAATCTGTCTTAGCTGCTTCATCCTCAAGTCATTTCTCACAAATGTAGAACTTAAGCATGAAGAAAATGTGTTGTCTTCTTATTGGTTTCTATAGCTACCAGTCATCGTCGCAAACTAAACTCTGAGCTGAGCTAGGAATTTTACTATTGTAACTAAATATTGGAATGTCTGGAGTTATTCAGTACTACTGCGATATAAAATCAGATATAATTAAAATGAGATATTAGAATCATAGAATCATAGAATGGTTTGGATTGGAAGGGACCTTAAAGATCATCTAGTTCCAATCCCCTGTAACATTTGCTCTATGCTTTCTTCTATTTCATGTCCCTTTAACATTTATAAGAATTCTGCTTACTTTAAGGTTTCACTGTGATATGCTTAATGGTGTCAAGCCTAAATCTGGTGATAAGAAAAGAAAAAAAAAAAATCGAGGAGTTTAAGGCATTCTTTACTAATGTAAATAAGTTCTTTTTTTTTTTTTATGCATAGAATGTAGAAGAATAAAACTGAGTTACTAGTACCTAATCTGATTTTTAAATTGTATTTACCTGAAAGTTTTTATTTATCCCATATTTATTTTTATTATGACAACATATGTGGCTTTAGATAATTATTCTTATTCTAGTAAAGCTAAACATAAATTCAACTTCTGTTGGAAGTAAACAAAAATTAGATTTCAAGTGTCTTATCTCTTGAGTTACTTCAGTAAGTCTGACGAAGACTTCTAATGAGTTAAATTTTGGGACAAACCCACAGAAATGTGTGACTTGAAAATGGCTGATGCAGAGAATGTTCCAATAACCAAAGGAATAGGAACTCAAAAGGCTGTGATTTTCATCTTGGTCAGATCCTTGTATTGGTTTACTTATATCTGGCTATGCACTACTGTTGATGCAAAAGGAGGCATGAGGCAGGAGAGTGCTTTACTGGGTACAGTAGAACACAGGAACATTGCAACCTGAAATTGGTTTTAAGATTGCTTTAGTCTGTTTTATTACTGTGATAGGGTATGTCCATCATGACACCTTTTTGCTGGCACTTCCTCCAGCTAGACTTCTTCAGTCTCAGTACTTACCTATTGCTTTAGTCTGTTTTATTACTGTGATAGGATATGTCCATCATGACACCTTTTTGCTGACACTCCCTCCAGCTAGACTTTTTCAGTCTCAGTACTTACCAAATTCTTCAAACTGGTATGTACTACACAGAAGTACGAGTTTACATGTGATGGTACTGAACAACCTGCTAGCTGTTTACATAACTTTAAAAAACTTTTCACAATTTTTTTTTATGAGTATCTCTTCATTATTTGATATTCTCCTAATTTCTGTTTTTTCTTTGATATTTCCTCTGAAAGGGCTACATTTCCTCTAAAACTGTTGCTAGTGTTATCAGCTAAAACTCTTTGTAGGACAATCTACCGAAACAGTCATGCCAGTGGACCACTCCTTTCTGGCCCTATTTCCAAGGACCTTTTAGACCAGACCAGATTAGTTATGGTT